ATGAAGGGGGGGAGAGACGGGTTTTGTCAATTTAGGGTTTGGGATTTTGAAATTTGGTGGGTGGGTGGGTAGGTAATAGGGTGAGTGTAATTTAATTTTATAATATCATAATTAATCAAAATAATAAAAACCTGAAAATTGAATAAATAAAGTTGAAACCTGATTTTTTAAAATGTCAAACATAATGCCTGGTTTTATGCAGTTACCACCAAAAATATGATACCAAGTGTCTAAAACCTTGGTAAAACATCCAGACATCGAAAGTCAAAAGAGAAATATTTCAAGTTCCGCGACCGGCTGCTTAGAAAAGAGAAGTTCCTTTTCCCTTCTTATCTCCACCGATCTCGAAATGTTTGCATCTCTGCAAAGCCAATGACAAAATTTCATAAATGGAGGCATATTCATAATGAAACAAATACATGATCACGTAAAGTTTAAATAGCAACCTTGATTGAGTGCCGAGAAATGTGCATATAGCCGTGGCATTGTAGCCTCAACACAATCTTCTTTGTCGTTTTTGCCTAGTAAAGAAGACAAGAATAAGAAAGGTAAATTTACACAATGAACTTAGCACTTACAGATATGTGCTAGTACATCTACATGGATTGAGAATAAATTTGGAAAATCATAAACTTTTCTTTCTCTGTTTATTCTTTAAACTATCCAATTATCTATACACTTTATGGCCGATAGTAATTTTTACTCCTTACTAACTTTTTCCAGTATGAAAAAGACGTGTAAATAGTTTCTACCTTCTTGTAGAAGACAGGCTTGGTCTGTCCACCATAACCTGATTGTTCGTTGTCATACCGACGCTTCCACTGAGCAGCTAACTAGCTAAGCTGTCTTCTCTTTTCTGGTATTAGATAAACTTATGCAAGGTATGCTTTCTGCACTCCTTCGATTTGCAGCAAGTCTTCTTTGTATTGGGAAAGTTCACCTTTCAACATCAGTTCACAAATAGCTCAATTTAAAGATAACCAAATCATTTGAGCCAATTAAATACTAAATGGCATGCAAGGCAACAATGTAACAAACCCAGAACTATCAAAGGATGCATCACACATTTGAAATGCCACCTTCAAACACCTCAGGAGATACGAGAAACGTATACAGATTTAGCAAATAACCACAACATACATGGGCTACATTAGATTTGCAACTTAAAAAGAACAGCTAAAAGACTTCTAAGGATGGCATTGAAAAGGGCCCGAGCAACAAGTGAAAATGCTGAAGACTAGATTTCAATTATATCCAGATTATATAAATGAATACCATATCTCAAATAATGCCACTGACTACTGTAACTATTTCCATGTGCTCACTTAAAACTTAAAAATATAGAGATGACAGGAAGTTTACTCAATTAAAAGTTAGACTTAGTAATCAAAATATAGATACCAACAACAGAGAAAAAGCCAATTCACGGGCAGCACATCACTTGAGCTAATTAAAGTGGTATAAGCTGGAGGACCAGTGACAAACAGAGCAACTGGACAAATCACCCTATTGTAAATCCAAAGATCGTTTTGTGCAAAGCCCATAAACGAAACAATTGAAGTTCCATAAAATAAACAATCTGTACAATCAAGTAGCAGCAGTGAACAAATGGAGTTCTGTTTAATCATCCCCGCCTCAGCTGCAGGAAACTTTTCTTCTACTCCATTTAGCTCACAAGTTAGTAAAGAGGTAATTATTTCTTCAATTTTACTCCCCCCCAATGAAATAGAGCAAAACTGAAACTTTTCTTGAATATGAACATGAACCCAATTTATAGGTGATTTTAAATTGCTCATAGATCAAAATAGCAACTGAGAAATGCTAAAAAAATTACAAAAATATAGAGTGGTTGGAAACAAATTCTACGGCTTCAAATTCTTGATTTCACTATATCACAACACAATCCATTCATCCTATTTCTTATCTTCACTAGAAAATGAAAAATCGAACAGCACCTAATAACATACAATTGAAATAAGAAACAAATACAAGGGCGATAAGTTCGGTTGCTGGGCTAATAGAATGACTAACATTAAAAGTAAATTGAAGTTAAGCGAAATTATTGCGACAAATTAAAGTTGAATTCTAAAGTATCAAGCATGATATAAAAGTACGTTCACACCATCGAAAATTTTCCCAATCAATCCTTACAGAATTCAAGATAAAAAATCGGATATTCTGATCAATCCTTGAAACAATAAATACTATAAGACTAATGTATTGAACCTCTAATTGTACATATGCATAAGTTGCACTTGATATTCAATTCACATTAACTAACTTCTATTATACCTACCATATTTCTATATTCCAAGTTACATAACATGGTCATTGCTCTACAATAATATTTTCTGTTTCATCTGCGAGAGAGCTCGTCGATTTTGTCCAGCCGATGTGCACAGAAAGTGCTCATAAACATCTATATCATGATAAATAGGAGATTTTACAAGACATGCATTCTTCTTTTATCGAGTCTACTAGATCATGACCGTCAACGATACTATTGACATTTACAACAACAAACCGAACATTATTCCCAGGAAAATTTGGGTAGGCTTATGAACCCTTCCACTCTATTCATTGCTACCGGGAGAAGAAATCTTTTTCAGCCAGTTCATGTCGATGGATCCTCTCCAGTTTCGGTTGCTCAAGGCAATAAATTTTGGCAAAACTCTTTTTCACCTACAGAATGAGCAGCATGTAAACCAAGAAAACCATTTGGATGGAGCTGCTTTTTTGGTTTCTGTGGAGGTTTTTGGCTCTGGCTGTGCGCTCAACTCGGGCTCTTGCTTCTGCAGTGGCTGTGCTTGAGATTCCTGATGCTCCAGAGCTACCTTCACTGAACTAGCCAACCTCTCTGAAGCACAATGGTCTATGTCTCCTGCCAATCTTAAGGTATTGAAATGATTCAGTTATTACTTGCATTAATCATGCATTTATGAACTAGTAGTGATAAATAATTACAATCAACCCAATTTATCAACTGAGGCGATAAAGAGTGTTTATGTACTTTCAAGATCCAAAATTTCTGAATATTCTATTATATTAATTCTCAATTATGGATTTCATAGTTTTTGAATTCCAAAGTTTTGGTTTTCTTATTTCGATAAATCGATAAATAAGATGTGCAAAGAGAACAGGAAAGACAACGTGGGAGGAAAAAATCACTGAGTGCATGATTAAGTGCTTCGCTTGTTATAAATTACACTAGGAAGAGGCCAAAATTTTTGAAGTTTTTGATGCCACGATATTGATACTGAGTGCAAAGAAAATTGATTTACTAGTAAATAGAGATTTGTGAAGGGTAAGATGGGTTTAGGCTCTCCCATAATGGAGAGTACATGAGTAATGACTTGGGTACACAGGTTGAGTCGTTTCAAAAAACGTGAAGTCTCTCTTAAAAGGAGGTTATGTGTTCGAATCTTGATAACGCAACATAAATCCGTGAGAGGTGAGATGGACTCAGCCTCTCTTAGAGCGGACAGTATATAAGTTAACGGTTTGGGCATAGAGGTCGGATCGTTACAAACATAACCCTCAAATATATAAAGAACTACTATATTAAGCTGAATGATGGCATACATTTGAAAGAAGATGAAAGGCAAGCTTACATTGGAAATGCAAAAGATTTGGCACTTGTTCTACTCCCTCGAGAATGACGAGATATGCATTCCTCTGGCATCCAGTTTTCGTTCTTTTGATCTTCACTTTCTCGAATCACTTCCTTTATGCTTTCCTTCGCCATTCGAAACTCATGACTTTTGGGTTCAGTACTTGGAGCTTGGACAGTTGAGTAATTAAACATCTGAACGGATGTAGATACTTCTCCCGGTGGACCCAATTCACCCGATGGCAAAGAGAAGGGGTCATTTCTAAAACTCATATTTCCCGTGTGAATGCTGAATAAAGATTCATTAGAACATACACTCCATTCCATTGGGGTTGACGACTTACTTCTAGCAAACACGGCAGATGGAATTCTATATGAAGATGTGCCAGACGGACCTGTTGGATGCTCCATCACTTGTGGAGAAGGTGATTGTGTTGCTGATACATTGGCTGGAGACGTATGACCTGTAAATGCCACAGGCGATGTAGCAGACAAAGCTCCATTAGGTGATGTAGCACATGGTCCTCCATTATCAGATGGTTCATATTTGGAAACAGAATTAGTAGAAGTCGGCTGTTCACTATTTTTATCGAGATCGCAAGTGGGATCATCTAATGTGGAATCTGGTGAGCAAGAGATAGAGAAAGACGGATTTGATGTATGATGATCAACTTTTTCAGCGGAAAGCGAAGAATTTGTCATCAAATTTTTTGTGGTCCCTTCCTCAGATTCCATTAGAGAAGCTGGTTATCTAGTTCAGTATGTGAAGCTCCCGTATCAATCCAAAGTACTGGCTCAGCTGAGGAGTTAGGACATAGAATATGAGTTAATAATCTGATCTAATGATTTATGCTAAGAATTCAAAAAATCTAAAAATAGATGCAAATGATATTTGAAGAGAACAAAAAACAGAACAAATTCTTAGAGTTTGTAGAATTGTACACATCCGTGCATATCAATATTTCGGCACATTGCTCCGCGCGTATCTCTGGATTTAAATCGTTTAGCACAATATATAGCTAAAGCTAACTTTGTCGATGTAAGCAAGTTGCAACACTGTGGATGTTGATCATGGAATTTAACAAAAAATAAGATGCTAATACGGTTCTCAATGGCTATACAGCTACACATGCCATCATAGTAGGGCCAGCCCTAAAAATTTTGAGACCCTATGCGACTATTTATTAAAAGACCCTTATACATAATTTTTTACAAGCGTGGCAACATTAAATATTTAAATAAATAACATACTTATATTTAAATGAAGAATGTGAACAAAATGAATTATGGAAAGGTTTTTAATATAAAAATAATTAGACTAAACAGGTAAAAAAAAAATTTTTTTTTTAGGTCCCCCAACTTTGGAGGCCCTAAGCCATTGCCTTGGTGGCTTTGGCTCAGGGTCGGCTCTACATCACAGATCAACATATTACAAACGTTCTTCGTGATTGAGCATGTAAATGCATTAATGATAGATCCTGTAGTTTCTTATTCCAGTAGGTTAAATATTGCCCGACATTTTGCTTTTCTGTATGCAAGAAAATCATTTTAAGTATAAAAGGAATTAATTGTCAGGTTTCCTATGTTCTGACTATGATATTAGTTCTCTTCTACGACTCTTTATTAATGTCTTTCTTTCCACTATCCAAGAGTCCAAGTATCAGTAAGTATTTCAATGTGGTAATGGGAGCCATCTCTGAAATCTCAACTCATGGCAATCTGATTTGGGATTGTAGTTGAGCTACAATGAGGACATACGTTGTTAAATAGTTCCACGTCTACCAATGTTTAAAAAGGCTCATAGGGTGCATAGGTGTTTTCCATTTGTGAGGTGAAGAGTAAGCCTCGAGACAAATCAATCAAATAATTCAAAGTAATAGAAATATACAAAAATATGCTAATAACAAGTTATTTAGACATTTTTATTATGGTACTGCATGATTATATATTTCAAGACATAGCAATCCAACGATGACGCATCAGAGGCTTTTTTGTAGAAGACTAAAATTTAAGTAAATAAATGTATTCCCGCTAAATTGAAGTAGTAAGCAAATTTAGTGAGGTCAAGTCTAGTTTCCATTCATTTGTAAAAATATGTTGTATCAAGTCTTTTATGCCCACAACCCTTCTCTAATATTTTAATCGTTGAGACAAATAAGATTCGAAAGAATTGGTTCATGAAGCACAAATATTCATTTTTTTTCTAGTTGAATCAGAATCAATAACAAGAATCCATCATAGTTTCCTCTTCATGTATGCAATTGCATTAATAATTATCACAATGAAAAATTAATTATTTCTCTTAGTAAACGAATATAACAGAATTACGCATCAAACCGAAAATTAGCACTACAGAAACCAACAATTATAAGAACTAACCAATAAAAATGGCAGAAAATTAGAATTGACTACCGTACAAAGCGAAGAGTCTGGCAACGATCCGGCCACAGGTTCCAAGTTCCATAAACCTGGGCTGGAATCAGCAGTTTTCTCCTCGCCGCGAAGCACAGTTCATAAAAAATGAAAAAATCTAGAGAGAGAAAGAGAGTGCTGTGCAGGGATTCATGGTTTTACGTTTATTTCGCTCTCTCTCTCAAATGCAATTTTGAAGGGACGTGTTTGGCTCCATCGTAAGAGGACTTTTATGAAAAATTACATGTAGAGACCTCAACCTATTGAATATGTCGCAAATAGGTCTCCAATCTTATATTTGATACCCTTGGTCTTTTCTTGTTTTGAGCTCCGCCACGGCCCATGGTCCCGGTTTATATAGAGGTGTACAAGCAATCCAAGAGCTAGTGAGGGAGAATATCGTAGAATTAGATGTATTAATAGAGATATTGGCTTCGTTTCAGTCCAAAGAACTAACCAATAAAAATGAATATGATAGATCATTCTCTTTGATCCACATATATCAATTCAACATGAAAGCGCAGAAGCCTCGTTCGCTTGAGAACGGAATTCTATTCTTTTATATGTTAGTCAAATAGCTTAGGTGAGACGAGATCCTTGTATTTTCATAATATTTAGATCACCAATTGACGGTTTTAGCTTTTTCTTTAACAAAAAAATAATAATAACTAACGTGGAAAACTAAAATAAAAGAAAAAAACTACCAATGATTTTTTTTTCCTTATGATTTATCTATTTTCTATCCTTTACGTTTACTTAAATATAAAGAAAAAATTGTGTTTTTTGTCATAAAAAGAGAGAATAAGAGAAGAGAATAAGAGAAATCAATACACACCTTATATTTATAGGGAAGGAATAGGGATACATATGGTAATTATATCTAGGGTTGCAGGGGTACAGGTGTCATTCACACTAAACCGTAATTTACTTTCCTTTTACAACACTCCCCCCTTGAATGACACGTTACAAAATATCTGCATGTTAAAACCTTATTTGATAAAAACCCAATGAGACAAAAAAATCAAAACGAAGGAAAAAGAGTATAGTTATTTTGGAGTATTAACGATAAATGCTGCCTCATTAAAACCTTGTTAGAAAAACCCAGTGGGATAAAACATAAACAAGGAAAAAGAGTACAGCTACTCCCCCTGATATTGATCACTGAAAATCTTTGAGTCGACGCATTCCAATCCCGTGAACCAATTTCTTGAATGTAGATGTTGGCAGTGCTTTTGTAAATAAATCAGTCAAATTGTCACTTGAACGAATTTGTTGAACCTCGATGTCACCATTCTTCTGAAGCTCGTGTGTATGA